CACAGTAGAAGGCAAGGTCGTGACATACGAGAAAAGGCACACCGGGAACCACTCACATTCCTATCGCGGACAGCGACTTTCCCAAGTATCCCCCGAATTGATTACTACTCCCTGAACCATGGAACATGGCATGGAGCGACTGTTTACCCATAGAATTCGGTCGTGGCACTGACCAGGACATTCATTGTCTTCAAGCTAGCTGCATGGAAGACCAAAAGTGTACATCACGATGCTACATTCCTATCTCGACTGATAAACAACGACAATATTGTTCTTTTGACGTGCATCGTGACGACGGAAGGTCGTTTTGCTGGGTACGGAATGGAGAGGCTTTACGAATATCACTCTCTAGCTTCCCCTACGGAGGCACAAGTGAAGAAACTGCTGCCGGCTTTTATTCAGGAGACGGTTGAATAGCTCCATCAGACCTCAGGGATATATCACTGCGATATTCGGCTCGGTAATAATATCATGGTAAACGGACAGGGAAGGCTGAAATTAATCGACTTTGATATTGCGCAGGCCGATGTGCAGCCTCCCCGGCACACAGTCTTGCCTGAGTCCCAGTTCTTCCTGGGTGTCTCCCCGAGGCTCGACCACTTGGACATAAGTATGTCCGTCCTCCCCCTGTGTATGGTGTTCTCGGATAGTTATGCCTGAAGAACACAAATCACAAATAATTGAAAATCCGCTCGAGCCTTTTAATTTCTATCTCGATAATAACCTCAAACGCTCAGACTACTTCGACAATGTGCAAAACCGAGTTCAAAGGAAGTTGTTGACACACATGGTATGTCCAGATGGGCGACTGTGATTGTGATGCTGTCACAAAAATTAGCGCTACAAAACGATATTTGTCCGGACTGTCGCAGGAAAATAAGCTGGCAGGTGTGTTTTTTCATAGTTAACCATTTTCGTAATGACAACTCTCCGCGCACTTAGGACTCATAACTACCTTCTTTGAAAGCTGACAAAGCCTCTCCTAGGTTGAACTGGCTTACACTCGACTCTCGCCTCTCCTTTATACGCTTCGTTTTGCTTTTGAGGCTTCCGGCTCTCTTCGTCAGTTGTGTCTAGCTTTACCACATGTCTTCGGTCTTTGTACTGACACTGTCCCTCGGTTCAAGAAGCGGTCCCCAGTATAGCTATTATGTCCTGATGAGGACCAAGCTCCCAACTGCACACAGAGGAAGTGGTCTGGCCAAATATTTCTGGGGCAGTAGGGAGGAAGAGTAAGACGATTAAAACCCAATTCACATTCACAGCAATGAAGTTTATTTCTTCTCTAGATGTACTCCGGTTATTGTAAATATCATTCATGTCGATCATGTCGAATGCAGTTTAAACTCCGCGATTCGCAAGCTTCACTGAAGAGGCCTTGATTTGTATGTAACGGTACACACACACACACACACACACACACACACACACACACACACATACTCAATTTATCAACGCCCGGCGACTAAGCCAAAAGGGCCACCAACTATCAACTACTCTACTAGTAACTACTCCGTACATTTCCTCATATGCGCCTCACCTCCTCATAGCCCAAACAAATTTGCTTCTTACAACATATGTCATCTCATCTGTCAGTGTTGTAGTAGATTCCCATGATTTCTAGATGCTTCTTCAAAGTATTCAACGCTCTTATCTTTGATAACGGAAGTATGTCTTCTGTTGTCTCGCATGAGATGATTGATGTCAGTTAGATTGAGAGAAGTGAGTGATCTGTGTTTGTCTACAGAGGATGCTGTCAAAAGTAATGTCTCATACTTACTATTACTAATCATTTAACTAGTTAACTAGTTAAGTTACCACTTCATCTTTTCCCTTTCGTTCCTTGTCTTGACATTTCCTCCACCCCACTTGTGCGCGTGGATGCATCTGTATACCTGTCGCTGATATCTTTCATAGAGAGATAGATATATAGATGTCTGTATAGAAGGAGCTACATAAATTGCATTATGTACCAGAATGAATCGGTGCTTTTCTTCTAACGCAGCTTGTCTGTTTGATTGACCATATCAACTATTTAAAAAAAATTGAATGGTGAAGCTGACAAGTGAAGAGGAATGCCACAGCAATCAAGATAATGAGAAGTAACGAACAAGACTCAACAGGAATGTATAATAGTACTGGTAATAGTCGGAGATAGAATGGGAAAAAACAGACACATGAAGTGGGAAGAAGATCGAAAGCAGAAAGGAGTAGCAGAGAGGGATAGAAGAGTAAACATTTTGGGTGG